ACATCAAAGCCCTTTGTCGGCAGCCCCGTTATTCCTCGTGGGATGAGGTTTACCGGGGCTGCCGACAAAGGGCTTTGATGTTGGCAGGGGAGCGTCCAGACTAGCGCGCTGAGCAGACAAACAGCTCATCAGCTGTTTGTCGGCTCAGTGCGGCAGCCACGTAAATGTAAATGAAGCCGCGATCATTTAAATCGCGGCTTCATTTGCCTTTGCCAGAAAAACAAATCTACATGGCTCCGTCGACGGAGCCATGTAGTTTAGACGTACCCCCATTGACTGAAATCCGTTCCCAGGCTCTGGGAGGCTGAGTTGTTGGGAAGCCCCTGGAGGGGGAAAGGGACCGACTCAACATTTGGATCCGGCTTCTGGTTTCCATTTCTCCTACCTGCACTCCACACTCCTTGGAATGATGCTTTTTGTGAAGGCAAACCATTGAACTCAAATCATACTTGCCTGTTCATAGCAGAAGTTGTGTATCTCAATTGGATGTTCACCCTGCTGTGTAGATGTGCCCCTAGAGACCACTTCTGCGCAGCTTGCATTGGTGTATCTGGGAAAGGGCAGCTAAGTAGCTTCACCCGTGTCTCAACAGAAATGAAAATATCAGCAGTTCAATGGTGAACAATGCACCTGGAATTGATAAGTGACTTTATGGCAAAGTGTCTCTGCTTTATTTCCTGAAAGTCTAATGTTCACAGCCTGTCCCCTTCCCAGCTGCCAGCTGATTTCAGCTACAGCAGTGGCAAACTCAGCTTGCAGAACCGTTTTTTTTTTTCATGTGACCTCAGTTAGGCTGTAAGAAAATTAGCTCAGGAATATGAAACAATGAAAGGAAACTAATAAAACAGAACATACACTTTATGCAGGGATGCGACAGAGATTCCTCTCCATCTCCAGCTCTCTCAAATGATCTGAAATCACCCTGGACTCCCCCAGTGTCCTTTCCAAAGGCTGGAGTCCCCTTGGGCTCATTAAGGGACGACAATGGCAGTGAATCCATGGCTGTCCTGGGACGGAGCGCAGAAATGACTGAGCACTGTGTCCTCCCATCAGGGCCAGCCAGCTCTGCTGGCCCACATTTGCTGTGGCCCCAAATCCTCCCTAGTGCATGGGGGTTACAACTGGTGCGCTCCCCTGAGCAGCACCAAAGCGCGTGCGGCCCCCGAAAAGTGCCAGGGTGGTGGGAAAGGCTCTGCTGCCTCCTTCGACCTTTCACCCCTGTGCAGAGGTTGGTCACCCTCTGGCCCAAGGCACTGCAGATTCAGGGGCAGATTCCATCTCACCTGCAGCTGGGCTTTTAGCTCTTTCTCCCACTTCTGAAAGAGAAAGTTCCGCATGGGTTAGTTAGCTGGGGCAGGGGCCAGGCTGGCTGAAGGCAGGGAGGGCAAAGTGGATACTGAAGTTAGGGCAGCGTGATGTAAAGCATCAACCTGGGGTGGTGGGTTTCGAGCTCCCTCTCCCCCAGGCTGGCTGAAGGCAGGGAGGAGGGTAAGGTGCCTGCTGAAAGGGTTAGAATCCGACTTTTGCCAGCCCCAAGGGCGAGTGCAGCCCCTGCTAGGGACCCTAGCAGGTTGGAGAGAGTGGAGTCAGACCGTCCACCCTCCTGCTTGCGCAGGGTCTATCGAGGAACGTAAAGGGCCCCCATCACTTTGCAGGCATGGAAACATTTGTCTGTATGAACCAGTGGTGGATGGAGCCTCCCCAATCAATGGTGATGCCTCTTCCTTTGCCCACGGAGGGCAGATTCAACCTACATCCCCTCCCCGCCAACCCTTTGCACCAGGCTGGGTTTTGGGTCATGGTATGGAGGTGGGAGGGCGCAGCTGTGAGTGGTTCGACTCCTCAAGTCACCAGGAGCCAGACCAAGCCCTATGGGACAGAAAACACCCTTATGGTGTTTCTGTGAGGGTCATTGTACCCATGAACCCCTGCTAAAGCCATCCCTGGTGCAAGCTTCTCCTCCTGTGCCTCTCTCATGCCTCGTTCTTTATAAACCACCAGATGGGGGCTCTGCTGTGAGCCAGACACCAGCAACCACTTGCTGTTTGAAGGGCTGGACAACAGGCAGCTGAAGAGATGTGCACGTTGCGAGGCCTGGCAGAGAATGTAAATTCCTCCAGCCCATCTAATGAGCTTTGGAATGATCGTGGCCTCAGGGGCAGGTCATAGAGCTCCAAGTGGGGAACATCCCCAAGCCGTTTCCTTCCCATGCCCCCATGCCCCCCTGCCCCTGAGCTGTGCCGCTCCCATCAGACCAGATGACTGCAGAGCTGCTGAGGTCCATGGCCACAGATTAAGCCAGGAGCATCAGCAGTAAAAGATACAAACTTAATCCAACTACAGCCTGACAAGTGTTGTATCCCTGGCTCTGCCATCAAAACAGACATGCACAGACTGCCCCATCAAAATGGGATTAACTTTCTATTGTCTTAGGATGCCAAAAGGTCTGGAAATCAAAGGCTGATGGGAAAACAACTCAACAAAACTCCAAGACAGAGCTGTAGTCCGCCTACTAGGAGAGTAATGCCTCGGAGATTGATCATCTGGGGTACGATTTAACAAGTCTAGTAAGGACCCACTAAATCAACTGCTGATTGTGCCCCCATTGATTGCAGTTCTCCACCAGGTCACGAGGAGTAAGGGAAATCAATGAGAAAGTTTCTTCTGCCAACCTCTCAGGATGGGAACACTGAAGATTCAACCTAAGGTAAGTCGACGACAGCTATGCTATTTCACAGTGTTTGTATGTGTGACTGAAATACCTACACTTTTGTAATGTCGTTCTCTGTATGGAATTGAATATCAGGTGTGCCATCATGCAATGAAAGTCTGTACTGCACTCCATGGCTACAAAGCGCCTTCACTGCTTGCAAGTCAGAGTTCAGGGAATAAATGTTCTCCAGTTTACACTGTCCAAAGGACAGGGGAATTTGGCCCAAAGACAGGCCCAAAAGTAGGAATAAGATCCTCCGGAAAAGGGCTTTTTTTCCGGAGGATCGGGGCCAGTGTAGACGCTCTTTTCCGGCTTTTCTAAAAGCCGGAAAAAAGCAGCGGACATTTTTATTTAAATGCCGCGGGGGATATTTAAATCCCCCGCGGATTTCCCTATTACAACCTGGAAAATTAGCATGCCCCATTCGGAAAAGGGGCCAATGTAGACGCAGCCTTAGGGTTACTCAAGAGAAGTCTGAGAGGATATCAACACAACTGAAATTTGGAGAAAATTCAATTTTTGTTTTAAATTTTACAGCACTTTATTATTTTTGTACTTTTTACACCTCAAAATTTCATCACCTACCTGGCTACGATTGAGCTGTTTAAACAAATGAGTTGCAATGGTAGAAAAAAATGTTGTGTCTGAAAGCTGTAGGTACTGGGGGTACTTATTTATTTTAAAGGGAGTACTTATAATTTTTTTTAAAGGGGTACTTTATATATAAAGGTTGAGAAACACAGTTCTATAGCATTTATATTTACCGCAATTTCCAAAGCATCTGTAACCCTGACTTTCTGTGTGAGTTTACTTTAGAGTAACCTCTGGGGAGGGTGCGTTACAAACACCCTCCTTTGATGGCTGACCCACAGGGTTTATGAGGTTTTAAGTTGTGAACTTTACAGACTGATTCCAGATCCATCCGCCGAGACTTATGCTGTGTTGTAGGATCCCCCATTCAATTCCCAGTGAATGTTGGTGGATTAGCCAGGTACTCCCTGTGGAGTAGGGGGTATGCTCTCCCCTCCGGGCTTACAGCAATCAGTACATCAGATTTGTTTATACTCTTCCCCCTGTCTCCAGTGCACCTGTTCTCCCATCCCTCCTCTATCCCTTCGGGTTCTATTTCCTTTTCCCTCTCCATCCCCCTCTTACTCTCATTCAGTTTCACTTTCCTATTTGCTTCCCTCTCCCCTGCCCCCTCATCTCCTGCTTTTTCTTCTCCATCTATGGCTGGGAATAACTCAGGCCCCTCCCACTGTCAGCACAAGGCTGTGCCTGGCAGAGCAAAGGGCAGGGGGAAGAGACACAGACACGCACCCAGCTACCATGGCCTCCGCAGCGACAGCAGGGGACATACACGATGATGCCATGTGCTCTATGTGCCTGGGGTACCTGACCGAGCCGGTGACTCTAGCGTGTGGGCACAACTTCTGCCGAGCCTGCCTCACCCAGCACCGTGAGCAACGGGGAACAGGGACACCCCCGACCTGTCCCCAGTGCAGGGCTCCATTCTGGCACGGGGAGTTCAAACTCAACACCCAGCTGAACAACATTGTACAAAAGCTCCAGCAGCTGGGGCCCAAGCCAGAGAAAGGGCAAACGGAGGGTCTGTGTGAGAGACACCAGGAACGCCTCAAATTCTTCTGTGAGGACGATGGAGAAGCCATTTGTTTGGAGTGTGAGAAATCCCAGGACCACAAGTCTCACGCGGTGGTGCCTATCAAGGAGGCTGTCCAGGAGTACAAGGTAGGAAACTTTTTTGACTTTGCCTAATTAAATCCCTTAAGGACACCAGGTTCACTCCCCTCGCAATACAATGACAAATATTCATGCCTGTCAGCTTAGAGTGAGGCAGCTAGAGGAAAGGGACTGGTTTTCAGACAGGTGAGTTCTGGGGGTTGTGGGCAATGGGAAAAGATCCAGACTTTTTTTTTTTGGCCCAGTGCTGCACGTTCAGTACATAAGATCGGCCACATTGGGTCAGACCAAATGTCCATCTAGCCCGGTGTCCTGTCTGCCGACGGTGCCCAATGCCAGGTGCCCCAGAGAGAGGGAGCGTAATAGGGAATCCTCATGTGATCCCTCCCTTGTCACCCATTTCCAGACAAACAGAGGCCAGGGGTACCATCCTTACCCATCCTGGCTAATAGCCATTGATGGACCTAATTTCCATGAATCTATCTAGCACTTTTTTGAATCCTGTTAAAGTCCTGGCCTTCACCACATCAAATACCTAATAGAGAGAACAGGGCTGGCTGCTCTTTGTACACCTGTAACATGTCTGCCAGGAGGAGTGGGCCATAAAAAAGGCCACGTTTGATATTTTGTGGTTTCCTTTTCAGCAGTACAACACAGATCCACTTTGTGTCTCCCTTGTGTAACCTGCGTAAATTCCCCCCCCTCCCCCACGCACACACACCCCTGGGTACCCCTGCTCTGCCCCAGACCCCATCCTAGTCCACGTCTTTCCCCAAGGCCATCACTTCCTTCCCCATTTTTGCCTTCGCTCCTGAACTTGCCCCACCTTCATTCTGCCCTCTCCTCTCCCCTCCCACCACACACAGTGCCTGCTGCATGCCACTGAACAGCTGATCTGCGGCAGGCAGGAGGCGCTGGCAGGAAGGGGGAGGAGTTGATCAGGGAGCTGCTGGTGGGAGCTGAGCACCTTCTATTTTTCCAGGGTTGCTCCAGCCCTGGAGCACCCACCGAGTTGGTGCCTCTGGTAGAAAAGGAACTTTCAGCGAAAGGAGGGAAATCACCCGGCATTAATTAAGGAAAATGCTGCAAGTAGCATTCATAGAGATAAAACTGTGAGCAAAACAGTTAGGTCTCAGGGAAATTAATTTTAGCAGACAGAAGACAATAAATACATAGAGGCTACATCTAGATTGCATCCCTTTTTTGGAAAAGAGATGCAAATTAGACGTATCGCAATTGCTAATGAGGCGGGTATTTAAATCTCCGTTTCATTAGCATAAAAATGGCTGCCGCTTTTTTCGGCACGGAGCTTTGCCAGAAAAAAGTGCCAGTCTAGATGCAGATCTTTAGGAAACGATCTCTTAAAATAAGGGATAAAGGATCTTTCGGAAAAGGCTTTATTTTCCGAAAGATCTGCGTCTAGACTGGCGCCTGGAAAAAAAGCAGCAGCCATTTTATGCTAATGAAGCGGGGGGGATTTAAATCCCCACTTCATTTGCAATTGCGATACGTCTAATTTGCATCCCTTGTACGAAAAAGGGATGCAGTCTAGATGTAGCCAGACAGTGTAAGCTGTAAACAGTTTTACACAAGCAATTTATTACGGTACCAATCAGGGATGATTGCGAAGCTTGCTTAAGGTGATGGAGTCAGATTATGCTAATGAAGCGGGGGGGATTTAAATCCCCACTTCATTTGCAATTGCGATACGTCTAATTTGCATCCCTTGTACGAAAAAGGGATGCAGTCTAGATGTAGCCAGACAGTGTAAGCTGTAAACAGTTTTACACAAGCAATTTATTACGGTACCAATCAGGGATGATTGCGAAGCTTGCTTAAGGTGATGGAGTCAGAGGGTGTTCCTGCCTTCCCCATCTTAATCTTCATGGGGGTGTGGCACCCAAACCCCTGCTTAGCGAGGGCACTTCAACTGAAGGTGACCCCTGTTGTGACGTGGCGGGGATTGTGTTCACTCTGTTTGGCTGTATGTGAT